GGCCTCGGGAGGACGCTCTCGGGGCTGAGTTGAGGAGGGGGGAGAGGCTCAGCCTCGGGAGGACGCTCTTGGGGCTGAGTCGAGGAGGGAATGAGGTTTGGGTCTGGGTGGGTGCTCTTGGGCCCATCTTCATTGCCGTCACCATCCTTGCGCCATCTCCGTCACCATCAATCGTCATCTTGGGAAAAAAAAAGTTTTTGACCCCACCGGGGCTTGAACCCAGGTCCCAGCCCTAAAAGTTTTTGTTGTCCCCATCAAGTCAATGAAATATGGGGATGGTGTCAGGATGTTCATAAGTGATGGTAGTGGTCGGCGACGGTCGCCGGTGACGACTTTCGACCAAAAATCAAAGTTGACGGTGACGCTTCAAAATGACTGCCTGCGGGGTCGGAAATGCGTTTACGCACCAAAAATCAAACTTGTTCAGATTGGCTCAAAACACATGCCTGTGAAGACGGATTTTCAATCCGACCACTTTTGGGTGACCGCATACGTTGACCGACACGTTTCTGCACCAAAAACCAAATTTGATCAGAATGTTTCAAAACACATGCCTGTGAAGACGGATTTTCAATCCGACCACTTTTGGGTGACCGCATACGTCGACCAACATGTTTCTGCACCAAAAACCAAATTTGATCAGAATGGCTCAAAATGTATGCCTGTGAAGACCCATTCACAGCAGTGATTGGTGGTGACCGTGACGGCAATAGTGACTGACTGCAGCAATGTTCAAGTGCGACAGTGCTGGGCAGCAGCTTCACCAGCCGACAAAAAAACAGGCATAATGTCTCTCTTTTCCTGGGTATGTTCAGGCTGTTTTGTCTCAGTTGTAAGGCGTTCAACTCTTAGTAATTGCCGCTTTGGCGGGGAGACCTGGGTTCAAATCCTGCTGAGCACAAAATAGTCGTAGTTGGAATAAGCATCTTGCAGAGGCGCTGGGGAGCCACTCACCTGGGTCAGAACTCCGGACACGGTAGGTGCCCAACACTTTTGGTCTGCAGCGTCGACTGTGTGCGGCTCTGCTTCAAGCTTTTGCTAATTATGTCACGAGGGACTTTTGCGGCAGTGGTTGATTTAGTGGCTAATTTAGTGGCTGCGCAACCTCAAATGTGTACATGCAGCGCCTACTTGTAATGCAGTCAAGGAACAATTATTACGCCGATGCGCCTGCGAGTCAGCGCCCTGGAAGAAACAAGCAAAAGCAGCATACTTCTTACAACAATCAGGGTTAGGGTTAGGGTTTAGGGTTAGGGTTTAGGGTTAGGGTTAGGGTTAGGGTTTAGGGTTAGGGTTAGGGTTAGGGTTTAGGGTTAGGGTTAGGGTTAGGGTTAGGGTTAGGGTTAGGGT